AGTGTCCCTTTTGTTTAGTTTGTGCATTTATTTTCAGAATTTTGTATCTAACCTGCATAATAACAAAATCCTCCTAATAATGAATCTTACTGAGAATTTATGGATTTCGTCATATCCAGGTATAGCTGCATCCAGCTGGCTAAAATGACCAAACAAGACCCAGTATTGCTTCATGTGAAAGAAGCGATCAGGAGCGGTGAACTGCGCAAGCTAGCCAATGAAGAGTTTGAAGCATACAGGAAGCTTCAGGCTAAACTTTCCATTAAGGAGGGCTCTCTAATTAGGGGCTACAGAGTGGTCATTCCTGTAAAAGCGAGAAAGAGTGTTTTGGGTCTGGCCCATGAGAACTACAAAAGAATTCTTGCATTTCGGTAACCAGGTGTTGACAGTGAAATTGAAGAAGTGGCAAGAAACTGCCTAATAAGTCGCCAGCACCAAGAGGCACTAGGCAAAGCACCTACGTCTCAGTGAGAACCCGCAACGACACCTTAGCACACTGTTTATGCCGACTTTGCTGGCCCTGTGGAAGGGAGGGTGTTGCTAGTGGTGGTCGATGCGTACACCAAGTGGCTGGAAGAGAAAAACTTTTCACAATATTTGGGCTCCCCAAAAAGCTTATGACGGACAATGGCCCACCTTTTGTTTCCACTGAATTCGAGGTGTTGTTAAAAAAAATAACAGGGTAACGCATGTCACAAGCACCCCATACCATACCCCAACTAACGACCAAGCGAGAGGATGGTGTTCGAAACAAAACAGGCATTAGCCAAAAACCAATTGGGAACATTTTCATGCAGGCTGTCGCCGTTCCCATACCTAAGCAGCACAGTACTGCGTCAACGGCAACAGGCAAAACAGCACCCACTCTCATGTTCGGGTGCGCCATACTCACTGCGCACACACAACTCCAACTCCAGCCGCCTGAGAAAACACCCTCGAACACCAGGGGGTATAACTCCCCGAGGGAAATTTCTGTAGGGCAAGCCGCATTGATCTGAAATTTTGGTGGCTGCCCTGCATTAATGGAGGGACCAATAAATAGAGAGGTTTGGGCTCAGTTCTTGGATGATTAAATGTGAAATGGGAACGTTTCAAAGGCACCTAGACCACATAAAACTGGTGTTGACAAAAGTCAGGCAGAAGACCACATGTCAAGCAGGCACAGAGAGCAACGCGAAACAACTCGGCAGACCGCCGTGCCGGTTCCATACACGTTGGATCCGCCAGAAGACTCCCCTCTGTCATCAGGCTTCAGCCAAACAGAAGAGCCAGGTCCACAGGAACTAGTGACCCAGCTAGGCATCGCAACGACATCACGTCTGCAATGATATCGCCAACCCCCAGATGGCTATGGCGACTCCATCTAAGAGAGAAGGAAAGTGATGTTCTACAAATGACGCACTGCCGTCCCCGGCCAATAGGAATACTGCCACTCCTTAAGTCACAAGTGCCAGCTTCCAGTCACTCCACCGTGTGGGCAGTGCAAAGGGAGTACAGGGAGTACTGTTTACCCTTCACCATAGAAGCAGTGGCCGAATCGCGCACTCGGCGAACATGCGCCGTTTCGCAAAAATAAAGCAGTTCATATCCAAAAGCTCAGTGGTCTGGTTCATCTTTCGGAACGCCACGCAAAACCCCCCAATGTAACAACGGCAATCTAAGCCTTGGGCATATGCACGTTTGCTGACGAAGACTTCAGTGGCGAAGACTTCACAGCACTTGAGCGACTTTTGTCTCAATCCTTGTTTTCTCCGAGAACCAAAGACTTGGGATGCTCCTAGAAGCCTACACTATGTGGATGCAACCCAACGCTATGCCCTTCTTCTTCAGCGTACATACGCCAGCACCTCCTACTCCCTCTCTGCAACGTCATCAAGACAGAGCGAGACAAGCTAGAAGCAGCGGGTGTGATTTATCGAGTGGACACACCAAGTGACTGGTGTGCTGGACTGCTTGTCGTTCCCAACATTACGGGCAGCTATCGATTGCTTGTGGACTTGACTACCGTCAAAAGGTGATACTTCGACAGCGTCACATCCTCCCTAAAATGGAACACTGCCTCGAATTGCTTGGAGAGGCTACATTTTTCTCTAAGTTAGATGCCAGATTAAGCTTCCACCAAGTCAAGCTGTCCCCGGAATCCCAAGAATTTATCACGTCTGTAACCACACTTAGAAGATATTGTTTGCTTCGACTGTTGTTTGGGATCATGTCTGCACCGGAGTACTTCTAGCAACAGATGTCCTAGATCCTAGAAGGCCAAGCAGGTGTGGTGAACATGATACACTACATCCATGTCTTTGTGATTACACGCTCCAAGCAGCACCCCCGTCTCCGCCAAGTCATGAACCGGCTGGCAAAGGCAGGAGTCGCACTAAATCGCGAGAAGTGCTTGTTGGCTACTTCCAGTGTCAAGTTTTTTGGTGTCGTGATCAGCACAAACGCATTTTTTCTGACCCAGACAAAGCTACGGTGGTACAAGCTACGGTGGTCATGCATTCAAACCAACATGTTGCAAGGGTACGTCGCCTGCTGGGCCTTGTGAACCACATCTGGCACTTTTTGCCCTATGCTTCAAAGGGGACAGCCCCAATCTAAGCAATGCTGCTCAAGAGCTCAGCCGACTTGGGGCCCAGCGCTGCAGTCTGCCTTCCCCGAACTGAAGAAGCTGCTGTGCTCAGACCTCTGTGTTGCTCGCTGCAATGCCGCATACAGGACCACGATCCCAGATGACACAAACTTTAGAGTTACTGTATATGCTACCGTAGGTAGCAGAGTTGTGTCTCTGACAGAACTAGCCGCTCGCACCACCATTCGCCAAGCGCGCTAAGGTGCGCGAAACGACCGTTTAAGGAAAAGCCAACTTCACGGCCATGCGGGTGCTGGCAAACGCAGCACCAGTAGCGCCACCACTGCTACCACTGCTACTACAGCACTGTCAAACCGTCTGTCCAGTGAAGCGCAAGGCAGTTCAACTCGCGCAGTATGGATTGTTTGTCGGTGTTGCGGTGGTGTTTCCTGATGTTCGTTTTAGTGAACGTGATTTTGTCCGACTATCGAGCCGTTGACAAAAATAGAACAGGACAAAACAGTAAAAATGCACCTGAGTGAATGTGTGAAAGCGGTGATGTGCGTGAATATGAACCTTATAGGTCTATCAAAATGGCATGATTCATTCTGAGCACCATGTGGCATAAAGGTTGGAAGCTTTGCGAGTGTTTACTTTAGGCCACATCAACCTGGATATACGAAAAAATTCTCTCTAGCTTGCATCATTTGTAAAACACATTGGTAATTTTAACACTTGCTTTCTCGAGCCACTTACTAAATCTCTTGAAGTGCTTCATCAAAAAGTATGTGAAACGAATGATTAGATGAATTCAATTTGTCCAGAATAGTGTCTGTCAAAGTTTTCAAGTTGGCGATTCAAAACAAAGATATTACTTGCGATAGTGACTGCCTGTTCTATCTCAGTTAATTGTTGGTCCGAGCTTTCCATATTTTTTTTTTTTCTTGTATGCAAGAGTCATTGCACTAGTGCCAACCCATAGCTAGTAATTACTTTTTTTTTTTCGCGACTTGCTGAAGACTGAAAAACACTCACTTTTATGAGTCATTTTCAGTAAAATACACGTACACATCAGAGTTCCAGAAAGAGGGAGCTTCTAGTCCCCCTTTCCTTTAGCTATGGGCCCACGTCAGCGACGCATTATGAATGAGCGTACACTGTGAAAGTACACGGAGCCACTGAGCCGCGTCGTCTCCTACATTCCAGAGGAGTGGCTATACTGCCAGCGAGCAAGATGGCGGACCTATGTGCAACTCTGCTACCTACCGTAGCATATACAGTAACTCTAACAAGCTCCTATGGTCTCAGAGCAGCACTTCCTCAAGAAGGGCCATTCAGTGAGTGTCGAGTAGTTGCTTTTGTATCGCGCTCCCTTATACACACGGAACGTCGGTACAGCCAAACAGAAAAAGAAGCTTTGGCAGCCATATGGGCGGTGCAAAGGTTAGAGGAATACATCTGTGGAATTCATGAATACATCTGTGCACTTCATCTGTGGACTTCTTGAATTTCATGCATGTTGGCAACTGCCGTTGTTGGCAGCGGCTGGCAACTGCTGATATGTCTGCGTGCACCACTGAAATACCTTCCATGTAACAAGATGAATAGAGTAGAGCTCTTTGCCCAAGAGGTCATCCGCTCCATCCCAAACGTTGCCTAGTAGCAGCTCAAGTACTTGAGCCGGGCCCAAGCCAATGACGGCGAGTGCAGTCTGCTGTTTCAGTACTGCATCAACGGCTGGACTCAGAAGTCCCACTTGCCGCTGAGTTCTCCTTGGTACTGCCAGTATCAACGAAACCTCGGCGTCTCCGAAGGAGTACTTCTGAAGAGTTCCTGCATCATCATGTCATCTGCCCTTCGGCGCCGCACGCTTGAGCTCCTCCATGATGGGCATCAAGGCATGAACTGGTGCAAAGCTTTAGCAGGGGAGTGAGTCCGCTGGCTGACCATAAAAAAACTGATAGACACACTAGTATTTAACTGCCCCGCATGCGCTAAAACCAGGGTGCAGCACTTGGAGCCCATGCTGTCGTCAACTACTTGAACTCTGCCCTGGCAAGAAGTGGGCATCGCTCTTTTTCATCTCAACTGCCAAGAATATGTCCTTCTGGTGGATTACCGGTCATTTCCTAAATGTGCTCACGTTCGACCACAGCACCTGGGGTCATCAACGCCATTAAGAGCGTTTTCGCACATCATAAAATTCCAAGACTGGTGCACAGTGATAACGGTCCTCACATTCACATAGTGTACGAAAGTACCACCGGAGGGTAGCAGCAAGAACTCATCTATGAAAAGGCTGCCATTAACATGACTTCACTTGACTAAACATGACTTCACTCTCCACTGTCGTGTCACGCACTTGCCCAATGTGCTCGACATACACCTTTTGTTTTCACCAAAATGTAACACCAGCTAAAACATAGCCCACCTCTTCTACGAGTGCCTGTATGTGCTCATCGCCTGTCAGTGTGGTTCCTTCAAGCCGCTTCTCCAAGGTACGAACCTTGTCTTCCAGGTCAGAGATGTGGCGGTCCTTTTCATCAATCATGGTGGTTGCCTGCACAGGATTAAAGCACTTCATTTGCTTACACAAATCTGCGTGACTGAAAAGGCACTAAAGCTGATCACAATAGAAGTTCTCTGCAGCAACACATGCCCCTAAAAAGAAATTTGTATGCGCTGATCCGGCCCGAATTCACCTCTGAAGTGTTTAATTTCTATGGACATACTAATATTCTAAAATAATATATATATAAAGTATAACAATAATAATATTAATATAATATTATTACAATAAATATAATATCTACATTCTAACATCCCAAAATCACAATGGACAATGGAATTTATGATGGACACAATAGTGGAGAACTATGAAAATTTAGGCCACGTAGTGTCCTTTAACGCGCAATGACATTGCGCAGTACAGGTGGTCCCACCATTTTGCCTCCAATAAAATGCTACAGCCATGGCCGGGATCACACCCGCAACTTTTGGATGAACCTGTAGCCACGATACTACTATGTCGGACTTCATAAAATACAAGTCTCAGCTTTTGCCTTCACTCGGTAGTACAGTATTGGTCAGAAGCCAAGAGATCGTACAAGTGAAATAAAACAGGCATTGGCAAAAAAATTACATCTCCCGCTAAAGGGAGCCATGTGTAGATGCCAAGCAGTGAGCGCTAAGGCTAACACTGGCAGCAGCGATGACGATGGCGCTCATCGCGGCATCGCGCAGGAGAGAAACCTGGGGAGGCACAAAGCATGCAGTGATGAAACCAGTGTTTCCAACTTAAACATGCCAATCGCTTCTGATGGGCAAATGAAAGAGAGAAAACTGCGATTGGACTACTAGATAATGCATATGCTGTAAATTTTTATTGTTCAACAGCGCACAGGAGAAATCTCCCACCACCACTACCTTGAAAGTCAAGATCCAGTACTTATATACAGTCGAGCCCACATATAACGGCCCTACTTAAAACAACTTTCACTTTAAACGAACAATATCCGCGTGACCGTGAAAACATACATTGGTTCAATGGCACAAAAGCGCACTTACAACGAACGTCTCCGAGCGCCGCTAATCGGTTACAGCAAACTGAGTTAGCGGTCTGCCGACTTCCCGGGAAACCACTTTCGACCACCTATCAGGCATCGGCGAGGTGCCCATACATTCTTATTGTTAAACGCCGACCCTGCCTCCGCGCCCCTTCAGTTGCCGCTCTCCCCGACCCATGGAAGAAGGAAAGCTTTTTCCTTCCTCCATGCCCTGACTGCTTTTTGTTGCGCACCTCTCCGTCCTTTGTCCCCCCGCTACTCTCAGCACCCCGCATCGCCAGACGAGGCCTGTGTTTCCACACTACTACCGATCTTTCGAAGACAGCTCGGCCATCTACTCTGTTTTTGATCGCTAATACTGTCGTTGGCGTCGCCGGCCTGGAGTGACCAGACCACTTGCCAACATCCTCGGCCACCGACTGTATCCGATAGTCTGTTCTCGCTCACTTCACCCTCTGCTCAGCAGCCTTCTGTGCGAGTGTGGAAGCGCGAAAACGGCTTTTAATTTGCGCGGAACGAATCGCGATATATCGAAGTTCATGAGGCCACGCAAACTCGCCGGCCAACAAAACAATTTTTTGATCACGGCCGCCGATTCTACGAACACCGCCGCGCGTAGGCACTCTTTCCAAGTTTTTTTACGGGCGAGTTTCACGGACCTTTCAAGCAAGCTACCCAACCTGCCTTTTTCCCCCGTGTGTTTTGGTTTTCAAGGTCGCCCTCCCGCTGCATCCTCCCCTCTCTTTATCGCAACTCCTTGCTCTTCTCTCGCAAATCTGCTCTCCTCTCTTGATCACAACCCCTTTGCCCACAGAGGAAGGAAATGCCTTCGCCCGTCTCCACCGCTCCGCGACGCCCGCCACGCTTGCTCGAATTAGTTTCCTTTTCTGACTGGAAACGGGCCCAGAGCTGTTCCACGTGTTCTGGCATGTGTGTCGCGTGTGCGCGTCTTGCTCGCTCTCGTTGTGCGTGTGTGGTCATGATGGCCGATGGGAAGAGGCTAGCACGCTTTTTCCTGCTGCTCAACAAAACGTCGAAAGTGCGACCGCTTGGCTTGAGCGTAATCCGTGCGTTAGGTGCCCCATTGCGAAGCGCTTGCTCATAGCTGTTGACCACCTGACAGCCAACTTTCTGCTTCGAGCGTCCCGGTATTCAGCTGTGGAGAAGGTGACTATTTCGTGGGCGGCGGTGACGACTACATGCGTGCGAAACTGTTTTCACGAGGCCAACTTTGTCGCAACAGGACTGATGCCGAGCCTGGAGCTTCCGAAGAGGACCACTTCGGCGGCTATTTGTGGTAGCGCGTCGCCGACACTGACTTGGGAGAGCGGGTGAAACATCTGTTGCAATTGTTTAATTGCGGCTCATGATGATGCTGACACTGCGGAACCGTCCACGGATTGGGGCATTGTGAATGACGTACGTGGCGAGAGCGATTTGAAGGAATGGGATTGCGAGAACGACGAAACTTCGGAGCCAGTGCCTCATGCAGCTTATGCCACGGGCCTCGGCGAACGAGCACCCTGCCGTTTTAAATGAACTCGAGACCGCCCTTATCGCTTCTGCTTTGCGAAACACGTGCATCACGGACTTTTTGGGGTAAAAAAAAGTTTGTGTTTTCACTCGCAACTTTTTGTAAAAGCTGTGTTTCATTTACTACGAACTTCGGGATACAGCCAACGGATGCCGCGACACTCTCAGGTTCGTTATAAGCGGGCTCGACTGCATAGACCTTTTTAACGTGAGCACCGTCATAATAGGCATTTTCAGCTGGACGTATTTGGCCTCTGGGCCTGCTCCGCTCAGCCAGCCGGTGGTTGCGCCACTGTGCATGCACTAGACGGTCAGGCACTGAGTGTGTGAGCAGACCGTCGTAGCGAGCGAAGGATGACGTGACGCGAGGAGAAACAACCAAGATGGCAGCCTCTTGTGACGTGATTGTTTGGGCTGCTCAGAAAACGCAGTGGTTGTTCAGCAATCATGCAAGCACTGACGGCACTTCAGGACACACAAGGATATGTGCCTCCTTCAACAAGTTGTCACAGCCAATACCTTCGAGCATCTGCGCATAAAGTTCCTCAAAACTATCTAAAGCCAACACTTCAGGCCAAAAATGAGTGTCTCGAGATGCTTCTTCTGTACTTCCGTCAAAGAAACTTCGCAAATCATTGATAGTAAGCAATTTTTTTCACTAATAGCAATAATTTTGCGAATCATTGATAGTAAGCGGTTTTTTACAATAATAGTAATAATTTAGTTTTAACAGGAGCCACTCTTCCACCTTTTCAGAAAAACTGTTTAGTTTGACTTGGCACAAGGCAATGCGGTGAATGCGATGCCTCAGGGCAGGGCATTTTAAACACGTCCGTAAACTACAAAAGCCACAAAACATCGAAAGGGCAAAATTCAGAGCAGTAGAAACAGAGACAGAGAGCAGAGATGTGGCCATGTCTCTGCTTGCCATTTCGTGGCTTTTGTAGTTTACTGAGTATGTACCAACTTGCCCAACAAGCAACTCTTCTAAACGCATCTGGGCTGCCTTGAAGCCTTCCAGTGTATTTCAATAGTCCAGCTTGAAGTGAAGGTGACAAAAAAATTAAAAAATGCTCTACGACAAACAGTAAATAAATTCACGATTCACTTAAAAAACAGCGCCAATAACGAGGGACAAGAGAAAGAAGGAGACAGACAGCGGCACTGACTTACAACAAGAATTTATTTGTTAGAACCACACAATATATACTTGGGCAGCATCTGACAAAAAAGAGAAATACAAAACAAACAAAACAGGATCCACCTAACAACTACGTAGTCATCTCCACAACGCACCATGAACAACACGTGTGCTAACGTTCCGAAGGAAATCTATTTCTTTTATTGATAGCGCAATCGAAGTGAATCATGTCGTACCAACTCGCCCAAGCAACCACGTTGAATAAATTCACACTTTTTTAAAACAAAATTTTTTATCTTGCTGCAAGATAAGAACATTTTTTATTTTATTTTACAACAACTTTCATCCACCGGTGGTGTCGTTATTGCGTTGACTGAGCGAAACTTGGCTAAAATTGAAAACTCGCAGTGTGCTCCAGTAATGTTGGTCGTTTTAGTGGAACGAGAAATGAAGTGCAAAATCGGTCAGCTGAAAGTGCCTCTTACCTAGCAAGAGACCCCGACCCTCGTCTGGCAACCCACTGGAGTGTGCAAAGCTATGTGTTTCTATGCAAGGTATTCGTATGGTTGCAGTTGCAGAAGGCTTTTTCATTCTGGCGTGCAGACTTTCATTTCAAATGATGTAGTATAGGTAGAAAATGAGTCTGTCAGACATCCTGAAAGGTTTTGATCCGTTTGGGGTCAAATATGATAATATGGGATGGCGCGAACATGTCGCGAGAGGTCGGTGTCGTACGTTTTAGGGATTCTATCTGTTGAGAATGAAAAACGCAAGAATATGTCTGCCCGTTATAGCAGGGCAAGCAAGTGCTGACACCTTTTGAAGATACAATGAATTTTTTTTTCTGGAATGCATACATTATTTCGTTGTTTTTTTTTTTCTCTCATGGTTTATTTATGCTTGTCACGAACTTTAACTCGGCAGCGCTTGCAGAAGATTGAGTTGGGAGAGAGACACGAGTAGGTGGTAACACGGCAAACCCATTTTATTACAGTTAAACCTGCTTATAACGAACCTGCACATAACAAACTCCTCAATATAACGAAGATTTTCTATTCCCCGCCATTGCTGTATAGAAGCACATGTACTTGCGACCTCTATGTAACAAAGTAACAGTGAGAGACAACCTTAATTTAACGAATTCTCCCCATGGACAATCTAGGAATTTCACTCCACATTTTAGCATTTTGGTACGAGCATATATCTTCCGCGGCTACCTCCCCGCCGACACGACAAAGCGCGAAGTGGCGGCGCCGCGCAGGGTGCATCACGCGAGAGTGAGCGCTGCGCGGGTGGGTGCTAGGCGGGCAGGCAGGCGGG